CTGTGGCAAGGGGTCTGATTGAAACACCTGAATTCAAGAATTAACAGGTGTGGCCAAATACTTATGTCCATATATTGTTAAGTTTCCCTCGCTTTCTTTTATGTAAGAGGTATTCGCCCTGCTTAGTTTATGCAATCTCTTCTACAATTTAGAGTGAAGTTTTAAAGGTTTAATGCAGCTGAGCCACATTAAAATGACTACAATCATAGACAAATTTGTAATTGAATATATGATATATTTATTTGGATAAGTGGTTCCCAACCTTTATTATCATGCCTAAACTTTATAAAGTTTGTGTAAAACCAGAGATTTGGATACATTTTTCGCAGATTATTTTATGTGACTATTGATCAGAGATGAGTTTTCCTGACATTTCTAGAAATATTTTCTACAATTCTCTGTCTGTATTATGCACATTTAAAAAAAATTTAAACACTCAATAAGCTTATTTTTTGACAGATTTTGTGTTTTCTTATCATTGTTTTGTTAGCTCTTTGGTTTTTGAACTTCTCTAATGCAGGACGAGGTTGTTTGTCAGAAAGTGAAGGCTCTGTGAATATAGTTTGTGTTCAGGCCTTCAAAGTTAAGATCTTGAATAATAATCTAAACTTTAAAAATCATAATTTCATTCAGTTTTCTTTACAGAAATGAATAAAATACTGAGATATAGACCTGCTGTGTATATTTTTTTAAGCTTAACTTTTTTTTTAAGCCATAAAGACCAAGAAGGTCTCGAACCAGTGTTAAGTTGTCAACCCCTAGTGGGGGTCCCGGCCCCCAGGTTGGGAACCACTGTCATAGAGCATGATGTTAATTTGTACTTCATAAACAGCTGGGAAAGGGAAACAGTGACCATTGCTAGGTTGTGTTCCTGTGAGTAAGGGGTAGGCAACCTGCGGCTGCGTGGCCACATGCAGCTCTTTAGCTCCTCTCCTGTGGCTTTGACGAGAACTTATATGGAAATAAATAAGTTACATTTTTATTTATTATTGTACATTCAACAGCAATTCTGACATTCTCCAATTGTAAAAAGCAGTTGCCATTACACACCGAGTAAAAAAAAAAAAATGTGTTAACATTTTGTCAACTGGCACCTTTTCTCTGTATTTTGCAGAACCTCAATAGCGATGGTTGCCAGTGTTGAGTCTCTCTAGTTAGGCTAGCTGTGGATTGTGGAATGCATTATGTTTTTTTGAAATGCCTCTTTTAATTGTGAAGCCTCTGTGTTGTGCTGATTTCTACACATGACCAACAGAGTTTTTATTCATTCAAACCTTCTCTGCATGGAATAGAAATGCTGCGTGAAAACAAACCGATGTCCTCGCCTTATAATGTGTAACTGAAATGTGTGTGTATGTTTGTGTCCTGTCTGTCTGTCTGTCTGCTTTGCTGGCCACCTGTGTGTCAGTCTGTTCACCTGTCTTACTGCCCCATGATTCCCAGTTTTGGAGATTGTTGCTATTGGTCAGCTCACCTGCTCAATGTTTAAAGCAACAACAACAAAGTCACCAGCATGACTCTGGTGCTTCATGCTGGTGGACCAGCAGGCTGTGGCCGCCGTGCAACCTGCAGCACACTGAATAAAAAGATGAAAACGAAGGACACCAAATAGCTGGAGTGCAGCATCAGAGAGAAGTGAAAGCAGAAGGTGTAGTGGGTCTGACGTCACTGGCATTTCCTGCTTTAACTGGAATAACTGCTACTATAGTTCACTTTATTGCTGACTGCTATGCTGTGATGTGACTACTGTTAAAAGGCTACTAGTGTGATTCAGTAGAGGCTGAGGTTGATGTTATTCCACCCAGAAGCTTTTTGGTAATAAAGATGTATAAACTCGAAGTGATGCTCCTACCTCATTGTGTCAGCTGCTCCTCTGTATGAGTGTCTTTCTTTTAGGACAGATGTTTTTCATAAAAAGCTTGGGTGCTACGTTAGCACGTCAGTAGTTTTTCACACAGGAAATGTCATTTAATTGAATGTATGTCAAAATATGTGAAATGATATCAGGATATTGCAGATATCTGTATATGTTTGTAGATACAGGAAACACATTATATGTAAAGCCCCCCTCCAGTTAAACAATAACTAACATTAACTATCATTCATTTTATTAATATATTGATATAAAACATTTTTGCTTGATGTATATTAAAAGAAGCAGATTAGACTTTTTTACAGGAAGGTGAAGGTGAAACTGACTAATGACTAAAATCTGAAATGCAAACCTCAACCAAGATGTTTCGGTTTTGTAGAATCAACCAACAGAGAAAACAAATAGATAAAATGCTCATATGAGTACTTCTGGAATGCACCTGTTCATTTGTGTATGAGGATTTGTTATTTTTTAATTTGTGTAACACTCAGTGGTGAAATGGGTCATCATCCGTCCAACCTCACCTCACTTTTGTTGCACCCGTACATTAAATGCCGTCCTGTTCATCACGTGTGGAATTTCAGGCTCATGGCAGAATTCATTAATCCCAGAGTTGGATCTAATATTACATCTAATATTTACTAGATCACCTGAAGGCACCAGGCACCTGCTACAGATGGTGATCTAGTGATGTTGACATGCACTCATTTCCTTTTATTGCTCCTTACTTTGAATATATCACTACTGTTTATCTCAAATGTTAATATTAGCAAATAGACACACAACATAGTGGAATATTATTCTAGCGGTGTATGTGATGTTCGATGCATGACTTTTACATAACATAACTGTGTGTGTGTGTGTGTAGACAGTAATTGTAACCTAACTGACAGGAGGGACAGCACCTTTAGTGTGACACTATGGAGGGAAAAATGTTGCAATAGTAAACTGATCTGTGAAAATCTGAATCACTGAAGCTCCTTCACACCTCCTCCCACGTAACACTCACACATAACATACTTACATTGGACTAAATATTGTATGTACAAAGAGGTAAAGCATGCTTAAACAATTATGTATGGGAATATTTCGTTTATATACATAGGTGGTTATACTGAGTATACCATAATACAATTGAGCAATGACAATAAAGATGAATGAATTTGATTGATTGTCTGTACATAGCTATGTGTCTACACTTTGTGGGTATGTCATAGGCAGATTCTAGTTATAGACTCAATATATTTCATCCAACCCAGCAGTTTCCCTCAGCACAGAGCTTTTTAATGTCTTTAAAGTTAATTGTTTGGGGCCATAACTTACTGTTTTGGTTTAGTCTCAAAGTTCACTTCTACAGGCAGTGACTACAGTCAGCTGTTTATAGTAGAGAAAAGCTCCGATAAATCTACTGTACATTACCTGCCCTGCATTAAACAGCAACCACACCAGTTAACAACTAGCTGGTGAACATAGGAGAGTGAATACTGGACTATTTTTTTTGTAGGGTTAGCTAAAAACAGGACTCTGAATGAATTCTGTGTTGCTCTATGTCTGCTAGATGTGTAAATAGGCAACTGTTTGCTAATACGTTCACTGTGCACTAACAACTTAATGGACCAGTGAGTAGGATTTAGTGGCATCTAGTGGAGAGGTTGCAGATTGCAACCATTTTAATACTGTTTGCCTTCCAAGTGTGTAAGAAACTACAGCTGTGAAACTTGCGAAAAAAGCGAAAGCCACTATCTAGAGTCAGTGTATGGTTTGTCCACTCCATTTGTAGATAAAAACAGTTCATTGTAAGGTAACAAAAACACAGTGGTTCTTATTTTTAGGTGATTATACACTGAAAATGAAAACATTGCTTGTTGTTACATTTCACATGCTGTACATATGGAAGCCTATTTCTGGTAATGTGATAAAAAAGATTCTGTAAGTCAGTCAAGGTTTCTAATTATAATCACTTAGAGAATATTTTTTTCTCACATAATGGAAATGGGCTTCCATACATTTGCATACTTCAGTTGCCTTTATAGTTTAATGTGTAGAAACAGTCAACATATAGCCTATTTTACAATCTCCAAATGTATTAAGTCATACAGGCTGTGTGTAGCCTACCTACATATAGTTTAAAGAGCTTTAGTTTGCATTTTGACACATAAATGGCATTTGCGGAGTGTATGTGTGTGTGCTTCAGGAAGAGAGAAACCACGCGTGTGGGGACAGA